TGATTTGAGATTATGCATTAAAGGATTCTGTAAATTTGAGTGTGAAATAGTTTCAAATGAAATCCCATTAAATATAACTTTGGTCCATGAATAGTGTTTAGGTAAGTTATTATCAGCTTGATGGGCAAATGCAGGATATTGAGTATGGCCAAATTAACCTTGCAAATAACCCAACATACCTGCCTTAGGTCAATTTGTTGCTTTGATATTTTGATTTTTTCAGTGATATCTTAAACACAATTTCTGCTTGTATGCAGGAAATTCCGGTGGTACTCTGTACAGTGGATGCGGATGCCTCCTCTGTTTTCTCATTGGTATCTGTATTGCAGTCTTCTCTTAGCACAGCTTTTATTTTTTACATTTAGTGGTGTTTGTGGCTGGTATATAGGCGGGGAAAATGATTTTGAAGTTTTGTTTGGCAATAGCTCTATACCGATTCTGAGTGATCATTTGGAAAACAGAGTTCATGAATATGATGACAAAATTTCAGTTGATTTGGTATCTTGTGAGGACCTTGAAGGTGTTGGGTCCTTCAATACTACTTGCTTGCTTAACTCTAATGTACATTTGAACTCAAGTATATATGCTTTTGGTATCGGAAACTTGGAGATACTACCTCATGTTTTAATTGTATGCCCCATAGAAGGATGTTCCATAAGCTTCAATGTATCTGGGAATGTGAGTTGGACCTAATGCTGCTATTATTGCTGGTTCAGTTGTTATATCCGCCCGTAGCTTGAGCATTGGCCAGAATTCTACCGTAAATACTACATCACTCAGTGGAGGACCACCCTCACAAACTAGTGGCACCCCTGTTGGATATGCAGGAGCTGGGGGAGGGCATGGAGGCCGGGGTGCTTCTTGTGAGTATCTAGGTGCTTGGGGTGGAGATGTATATTCATGGTCTGATGTATCCGATCCATGGAGCTATGGGAGCAAAGGAAGTGGTAGATCTGCCCAAAATCCCTTTGGAGGGAATGGTGGAGGACGTGTAAACCTAGTAGTAGAAGACGAGTTGTACTTAAATGGGTCTGTATTTGCTGAAGGTGGTGATGGAGGAGCAAGTGGGGGTGGAGGTTCTGGTGGGAGCATCTACATAATTGCTTATAAGCTGTGAGTACATTCTGAAGGGACTCTATTGCTCATATGATATTCTGTGTTTAATTTTTAGGGCCATACTACATTTTTATCTTGATTGTTGAATACTGAACCTTGTGTCCATTGTGTTCATAGGCATGCAATTTATGTATACTTGAAATGTAGATGCTACTTCTCCAACCGACTTTCATGCTATGGATATGTTCTTCTGTTGAATGATTCATATAGAGAAACTGAATGTTATTCCTAGTGTTTGACCACCCCTTTTAATTGGAGCTTCATAGGCAATTGACTGTACATGGAAGGCTTTGAATCTCGGATCCCTTAATCACCAATCCATAGATCCCATGCCTCAAAAGGTCAATCATAAATCTTTTTTGTGTGTGGGTGGGTGGGGGGTGGGGGGGGGGGGGTTGGGTAGGGGGTGGGTGGGCAGTTTCATCTTCAAGTGCACTTAAATGAAGTCAAGCTTGCCCCAAGTTTACCTCTCACAACCACAGCTTTCAGAGCTTCTGTATAATACCTGTATAGTTTCCAATGTGAACAACTCTGGACATGCTGCCAGATTTCTGTAGGAAGTTTGGCATATTCTTGTGGACAGACTTGGTTTTAGGTTCATATGCATATACACTTCTATTAACATTTATTTTTTGATATCCTGAGAAAAAATTGTACTCCGCATTATTTTCTTGATGAGTTCCTATATTGCCCATAAAGAACTTTCCACTGATACCCTCACCCCCTTGCCCCTTCCAGTTCTGTGGTGGTTTTTTTTTAATCAATTCAAATGCTTGCGTTTAGGAATGGTCTTGGTACTATCAGTGCAGCTGGTGGAAGAGGATGGGGAGGAGGTGGAGGCGGAAGAATTTCACTTCGTTGCTACAGTGTACAAGATGTTATAGTTACTGTGCATGGTTAGTATTGGTCACTAATCCTTTTTACTTGAAGAAACTGCAAAATACTTGATTAAGTGCGAAATGTTTTCTTGGCTCAATTCTGTTAATAAAGTATTCTAGCTGGCATTCATTACATACCAACAGTATGTATTAGCTTGCTTTTCTCTAGTGTTCTATTTTCTTACATCTCTGATTTCTACACTTAATTAATCAAGTTCATTTTTGCGGACTATCTCAATTTGAAAAGTAGCTAGATGCTAAAATCAAGAGATGTTGAGAAATCCTTAATTTGAATTATTACCAATCATCTTAAGACAAATAGATCATTTTTTTAATCTTGTACTTGGATGTCTGTCCTTCTTTATGACGGCAACCCTTTTCTTCTTTTCTGTAAGCTGGGATGAATTGCCATAAATGCTCGGTACTGTGCTTTCTGGTTCAATTTCGTCGTGAAAGGGGTGACTTCTTATTTCAGTGGAGGATATATATTACACCATGAATCTCATTGGCAATTGTGGTGTAATTTGGCTTTCAGCAGACATAATATTACGACAAATCTTCTGTATGAATTTTGTTTCATTCCATTTTCTGTCCAACATAGATTTACTTGGGTGCTTGCTATGCTATGGCTTCTAGATTTTATTTTCTGATAATCAGTAAATCATCATGAAAGTTGTTTTACAATTATTTTGCAATTTGCTTAATTTGTATCGGTCAAGAGAATGTATTCTCTATCCAATTTATGGATCGAGTATAAAACATTCTAGCAGCTGAAGGCTTAAGGTTGGACACATGACCATACCCCTACCTTAGTGGGATCCTTGGAAGTGGAATTGTATGTATAGTGATCCAAGAATTAGGGATTGGATTTTGGTTAGTAGTGTTTTTATATGTAAATTAGAGACATGACTTACTTTTGACCCTAGTCCTTTTTTGTACAATATAGACACCCTCTTGGTTCCTTCGGGTGAATTGGGTCTTTTCTGGTCTCATGATTGGCTTTCTTCTCCTCCTACCTATACAGTCCTTTTTGTTCCCTTTATTGTGAAAAACAGCCCTTTGACTGCACGAAAATAATTTTCTCAAAAAAAAAAAAAAAAAAAAAAAAATGCACAAAAACAAAGAGCTTCTTCTCGTGTCTGTAAAATTTTATCACCTTTTGGCTTTCACTTCAAGTATCTTGCCGGTGGCCTACTTTAAATAGTTTTTGATTCCTCTTGCCGTGTGTTCGATTTTCTGGGTGTTGGTGTTGGTGTTCAATTTTTGTGGTCAGTCTGTCTGTTCCCAATAATGATTTTTTTTTTTTTTTTTTTTTTTTTTTTTGTTCAGTTACCTGGACATCGCTCAAATTTGACCAGGCCTTCATATTTTAATTGAAGTTTTAGATTTTATCTGACTCATGAGGGGCAATAGAGTTATTAAGAGTTCCCTGATGGCACCTTTAGTGTCTGTGGTGCTGGGTGAATGTTTATAGGAGGGGAAGGAGAAGATGGTGAATGTTGGAGGGGTTGCTTCCATATATAAGGTGGTTGCCAATCCTGTCATGGACTGGGAGGGAAAGAGAAGTAAGGAGGTGAGTGGCGCTCTATTGGAGAAAGGGAGAAAAGGGAGGGGGTGACCAGAATTACAAGTATCTAACGGTTTGTTGACGGGAGATGCTGAAGAAAAATGAAGGGTATCATGTATTCATGTCTACAGTTTTTTTTGGTGTATGTGTGTGTACGGTATACGGTGTACCATTTTCAAATAACTAGAACTTAAGGGCACTGTGTAGAAATTCCTACAAAATTTAAAATTAAAGAAATAAACAAGTATTAATAACATTAGGTCATGAGCCAGTCATGCTGAATATTAGTTTAGCCTAGAGCCCACATAAGGAAACACTCCCAATTAAAAAAATTACATGGCGAAGCAAGAATGTCTTCGTCCCATGGACTCCCAACTAGAAGATCTGTGTCTTCCCCTGAAAATCCAATGCCTTATGTATATTAGATTTATATGTTTATTAATATGTACTATGTATCATATATGCAATATGGATTATTTTAATAGATATGTTGGTGGAGAAGCTGGAAGATAAGTTATTGACCTTTGCTATTGCAGGTGGTCAAAGTATTGGGTGGCCTGATAACGCTGGTGCAGCAGGAACTTATTTTGATGCTACTCTTCTCAGTTTAAGAGTAAGCAACGACAACCTAGGCACAGAAACTGAAACTCCTCTTTTGGATTTTTCTCTCACTCCATTATGGTCCAAAGTCTTTATAGAAAACAGCGCAAAAGTGTTGGTCCCACTTTTGTGGACCAGAGTTCAGGTATTACCTATTTTCTACCATTTATCCATTTATTAATTTTGGTCCCACTCTTGTGAATTATAGTTTAGGTATTTTAGCTAAGCATGCTATTGAAACTGTACTAGTGGCCATTGGTTGATTATAGTTCGTTTCCTTGCTTATGAAGAGCCAGGAGGAGAATTCTGGCTTATTAAATTTGACATTTGCTTGTGGAAATTTGTCCTCTTAAAACAAACTAATGTTATGATGCATATATTAGATGGACATCTCTGCAGTAAGACAGTTTATATGTCAGCAGAAATCGAGTCCTTTTGGTTTCCTTTTGTCATCATAATTGACATTGTTGAATGCGCTTTAGCAGCCCATCATAATTCATCTATCATAAGTTCTAGGCCTAGTTTCGGATAGGATATCCGATCCGAAACTGGATTTCGGATCGGATATCCATATCCGAAAATCCGGATATTTGATATCCGTATCCGATCCGAAAATGTCGGATATCTAAAAATTCGAATATCCAAAATTTTCGGATCGGATAAGTCGGATATCCTATATCCGATTCTTTAATTAGAGGGTTTTTTTAATGGAAAAATTTATTTTTTCACCCTTTTTTTACACCCTTTTTTTTCACACGTTATTGTCTTGTGGACCCTTTTTAATAACAATAATTTAAAAATAAAAAAAAACAGAAATAAAAATATTAAAAAAAAAATAATAAAACATACCAAATTCAAGGGAGGTTTTTTCTTCTTAAAATCGAGATCAATAACAGACTTAGAATCAGACTCACTAGGAGAGAAGGACAAAGGAGTATTAGGACTACTGACTATAAGCTTCAGCCTTAACCTATAACTAATTCATATACATAAATGTTACAAATTTTATATTATTTGTGTTTATAATACACTATATACTGTATAATTACAATCTATAATTATGTTAGATAGAAAATTAAAATATAGGAGTATCCAGTAGCAGCAGCATCAAAGTCACAGCAATAGTATCCAGCAGCAACTTGTAGAAAAGCAGCAGCAGCCGCCGCCACTGCCTAAGTCACGAAGAATTCTCCTTCTACAACCCCTTCAATTTGTTGTTATTCACTTGAGTTTGACACTTGCAGACCCATACACGAGTTGGAATAGCTGAAAACCGTCAGAAAAGCAATGAAATTAATATAGCAGCAATGAAAATTAATATCAAAATTTTAATTTACGTGTAAAAGCATAAGCAAATAAGAACTGGAGAAAAAGCAACATCACCCTCCAAAAACAAGGGGCATTCCTCCATGAGTTTGTCCCTTTTCCGTATCTGTTTCTGCATTTGTATTTACACACGAAGGCTCTTTGACATTTAGAGCTCTTCTCTGTAATCCTCTATATGTGGCAACATTATGTTTGGAAGATGACGAGCATTCTCCAAAAGTGGATCTTCGCTCATGAAAACTTGCAGAGCTTGAATACTCTACTAAGCAAAGAGCCACACAGCTTTCCAAATGTCCATTAAAGATTCCGCAGTACAAATCCTCTAATGGCAGATAAAGACATGAAATTAGTAAAACACATAAACAACCAAGGAACATTTATAACACGATTCTTAGAATCAGTGAAGAAATTAATCTGTTGTCATTACTATGATTGTAATACCATATAATGGCATCACATCATTCATATATATATATAGAGAACTTACCAAGCAGTGGCGTATCCAGGATAAACTTCTTCTAATTATCAAATTTCAATTAACAGAACAAGTAAAAATTTTATTTCAAAAAAAAAAAAACAAGTAAATTTTTTTTAATTCTAACTTCTAAGTTTCTACAATTCAATTTCTCAACAATTCAAGAATTCAACAATATATCAAAACCATAAACCAATTTAAAAAATAAAACAAGCAAACCAAGATTAAGAATTAATAGGAGTAGAGGAATAAGAGATTAAGAGGACTCACAATTGTAGAAGAACTCTGAAGTCTGAATTCAGAACAGTCGTCCCTCGTCCGTGTCTCCGTCACTCCGTGAGGTCGTCAGTGCTCCCGGTCGCCGGTTGGTGTCTCGGTGTGCGGTGCCGCGGCGGCTAGTGGCTACTGGCTAGGGTCATAGGGTGCCAAGGTTAGGGTTTTGGTGTTTGGGAATTTGGGGAAAATAAGAAATGTCGATGTTTGATTTCTGAAATCTGAAATTTGAATGTAAGGAGTAAATTTTAATTATCAAATTTCAATTAACAGAACAAGTAAAAATTTTATTTCAAAAAAAAAAAAACAAGTAAATTTTTTTTAATTCTAACTTCTAAGTTTCTACAATTCAATTTCTCAACAATTCAAGAATTCAACAATATATCAAAACCATAAACCAATTTAAAAAATAAAACAAGCAAACCAAGATTAAGAATTAATAGGAGTAGAGGAATAAGAGATTAAGAGGACTCACAATTGTAGAAGAACTCTGAAGTCTGAATTCAGAACAGTCGTCCCTCGTCCGTGTCTCCGTCACTCCGTGAGGTCGTCAGTGCTCCCGGTCGCCGGTTGGTGTCTCGGTGTGCGGTGCCGCGGCGGCTAGTGGCTACTGGCTAGGGTCATAGGGTGTCAAGGTTAGGGTTTTGGTGTTTGGGAATTTGGGGAAAATAAGAAATGTCGATGTTTGATTTCTGAAATCTGAAATTTGAATGTAAGGAGTAAAAGAACAAAAAAAAAAAAAGTACAAAAAAAGAGGGCAATAGGAGTCGAACCTAAGACCTAAGACATTATAAAAGGGCGCGCTGCTCTATTATTCAAAGCCTTACCAATGCACCAAACTTACCCATGTGATTATTATTCTCACAGAAATTTGTATTAACCCTTTTTCTTTTTTTTTAAAAAAAAAAAATTAAAACTTATAATTTTTTTCCAAAAAATCTGTGGGTTCAATGAACCCCCTTGAACCCCCCTAGATCCGCCCCTGTTACCAAGTAAGTGAAGGAGTGGACTGCTTAGGTATGATGTCAAATCCAATATCCTGGTAAATATGAATCCATTGATCTCCTGCAAACAAGCTGTTACAAAAGATTGCTCAAGTTACTCAGGGGAAGAGAAACTACAATAACCCACATCAGGATTAGCTCACAGAATCCATAATATAGGCCATTTAAGTCTATAATCACGCATTATACAACCCAGTTCATCTTAAGTTTATCCAAAGTCGATAAATTCCTTGAATGAAGAAATACCTACAATAACTTGGTAATCCAAACCTTACTAGACTTCTATAAATCCGAATTCGACTTAGGACATCCCCTAACAATATACATATATCAATGTAAAAAGTTCGACGATTCAAGGAAAACAGTCATTAATACAAAAAGTCAAACAGTTGATGGGCAACCAAGATGGGTACTCACATAGATACATTCATTCAGGGAGACAACGAGGGTATGTCATCTATTGAAGTTTTTATCTCACCCCCAATGAGGTCCCCCCAACCCTTCCAAACGCACGCATGCGCACACACACACATATTTTAAGGTTTCAACAAAAAAATACTTCTCTGTAAAGTCATGGAGATGACAAGAAATCCTACCAAGATTGGTTGAAGGAGTATAATTTACCAGCGCATAATTATAAATTAAGCCACAAAACCTCACCAAATAAAAATTGAATATCAACAACAGTAGAGCTTACTTTACTAGTTTATGACAAAATCCATGAAATCGGAAAACCTAACCCAAGAAAATCTAAATTGCAACAGTTATTCAAAACCACCAAATATACTCAACATAAACAAAAATAATCAAGAAAACTTCTACCAGATTATGATTCTCTGTAATTTTACTAAACAACCAAAACATAAACCCTAGAAAAACTTAACTACAATTTCACACTAAAAAATCAACTATATTACAGACAACAATTCAATTAAATAAAATAGCTAAAAGTTTAAAGTTCGAGAAAAAAACCTTTGCGGCCAGGCATTTGCTTGCCATCCTTAACGTAGAACTCGCGAATATCAACCATAACTTTCCCCTGTCAACTCCTCATAGAAACGCTCCGATTCTTTGAAATCTATGGTTTAACAATCATTCAAAATCAATGAAAAAGCAAACCAAAGAAATCATCAGCTCCATATTGAATCATAGTAGAGAGAAAAATACCTTGCAAACAACAATTACATCTTTGTCGTCGTTGGATTTCGCTGCCGCAGTGCCATGGATACATGGGTTCCAACGAACCCAGATTCGCCCTAAATTGAAGTGAGAGTGCGAAGATCTTCAAGAAATCGAAACCCTAAATTATTATTTGACGAGCGATCTTAGAGAGAGGAGGGAGAAGAGGATTGATTGAAAATAGGATTGATTGAGAGGAGTTTTGAGGACCGAGGAGCGATCTAAGAGAGAGGAGGGAGCTAGATCTGAGATGAGAGACAGAGAGAGGAGGGAGAAAATCAGAAAATAGAGGAGAAAGAGGCGGGCTGAGCATAGTGAGCAAATCTAGGGTTATAATATAAAAATATTTTAAAATGGTAAAAAAAAGTGTTTTTTTCGGATTTCGGATCGGATATCATATCCGATATCCGACTTTTTTTCGGATATTCGGATATCCGAAATCGAAATTTTCGATATCCGATATCCGATCGGTTATCCTAAATTTTCGGATCGGATATCCGATCCGAAACTGTTTTCGGATCGGTTATCCTAAATTTTCAGATTGGATGCGGATCGGAATTTCGGATTAGCAAATATATTTGCTCAGCCCTAAAATTAAGTTCTCTCACTCTCCCTGAGTAGCCATTCCAAATTCCTATACTGTGTTTAGTATTTTCATGGGAAGGAACATTCCAAAAAAACCCGGCCGCATCAGGAAAATGTAACGCTTTAAAAAACGGAGGGGGTATCACTTGTTCCTTTCCAATCAATTAATCAATCAGTCAAAGCCTTAATCCCTTAAGTAGGGTCGGCTACATGAACCAAAAATGATATCTAAGTATTTCCAATAAAAAAAAAAAAATTCTAATATCTTGTAGAAAATATCTAAGTATTTCCAATCTCAATTCTAAATTCCTTATTACCTCACCCTTTTTTCTTTTTTGATTTGCTCTTTCAATAGCGTCTTTATTAGTGTAGATTACTTAGGGTCACTGATGTAGACATTACAGCTCTCTAAGCTTCTTCAAGATTGAGCTCCATCTTGAGATTGCTGTTTGCTAAATTTACATTTCAACTTGACTAGATTGCCTATGATGATTGTATGCAATGTCCCCCAAAATTCCCATGTGACTATCTGGCTTCATCTTTTCTCCTATGAGAGAAAGTTGGGCAATAACTTTGTAATTAACTAGAGTTTGGTCTTGTTATTTTTACTATAAGGTGTTTTTGTTGGTTGTAATTGAAAAAAAAAATAAATTTCATTGGACCTTATATCTCCAAAGCATTGATCATTAGTAAGTTCCAATACACTGCTGTCTACTTGTGTAATTACTGAAGGCTATTTGATCTTCATCGTTTAGCTGAGCGGGCAATTAAGTGTGCTTAGCAAGAGTAGTATCAACTTTGGGTTGATGGATCGTCCTGTCTCAGAGTTTGAGATTGTTGCTGAAGAACTACTCATGAGTGACTCCCAAATACAGGTATGGAGGCTAGATTGCACATTTATTCTCACCATGTTATATTAGATAATTCTTGTTGCCTAAGTGTATTGTTTCTTGAAGGTTTGCTCAATAGAATTTTCTGAGTACTTTTTATATGCGCTGGTTGCAATATTACTGTCTTTTTACTCTGAGTAGTACTGATAGTACTTTGTTTTTCTTCTTGATTATTTGGGGTTAGTGGTGACACTGTTTATAAAAAATCTATCTCATATTTGATTGATTGTGTGGTGGCTAATTGATGTTCGTATTATAAGCTGTACCTCATTGGATCACATAGTCCACATTCTAATCTTCAGCAACTACAAATTTTGTTGTTAATGTTGCTTGACAACAAGGGTTTGCTATTTTTTATGAATATGTATTAGGCTTTCTTTTAACAAGCCATCCAAATATCCTACTATTAGGGTCCTATATTTGTGTGTAATTTTTCTTATAGATTTTGGAACTTCAAATATTTTACAAGTGATATGGGGGGCATAATTATATTTATCCCAGCCTTCCTGTTTGTGAAGTCAACACTCCCTTGTTTTTGCTGCTGCTGCTGTTGTTGTCGTTGTTAATTATAAATGAGGTATATGAGTATAATAAAAAGATATCAAAGATAAATAAACTCAGGCACTCACGTTATCAGGCAGCAATTTATCTGCAATATAAAGATGTCAAGTATTGCCTAGAACCTAAACTTGACTCCAGTTATGCGTCCCCTTGGTTTGCTTTTGTTATTATTTTATTATACCTACGATGAAGGATTTAAAGTATTAGAGGCAATATAATCATTCTAATTGGGTACTGGAGACTTGGAGATTATGGATATCACATGTTACTTCATTTAAGTCAATATGTCTGCATTCAAGGGTTGTTGCTTACAGTTTTTGGGTTTAATAAGATGGGTTATCATAAAGAAATCTGTCGAGCAGGGATGAAAGTCGGCCTTAGTGATTTAACGGCGGAAGGATGCTTGTCCAAGATGCTGAGCAGCAAAGTTTGATTTTGGAAAAATCTTTGTTAGGTGCTTTTGTTCTCTTGAAGAAAATGTTCTAGAATATTAGGATAATACTATAGGCTTTGATTTTTTAATTTAGCAAGCTGAAAACCTATACGCCAGTTGAAATAGTGCTTGCTTAAAGTGTGCATTTTTCTTTTTTCTCTTTTTTTAAGCTTGCATTTTTTGATAGTTTTCATTCTCAATTGTTTTTAAAGTTTAGGTGTAAGGACTGGTTGTCCTGCCTTCATTCGAGGCTTTTATACAGAAGGGGTTGAATGGCAGTTTACCTTTGTTTGTGGTCCATCTTCTCCTGATTATCGTCAGTCTTTATGCTATTGGGATTTTCTGGGGTTGCATTCATTAAAATTTCAATTTAGTTATGAATTTTTTTTTTTCGCTTTTCTTCCATTTTCTTTTCTACATGTGCTCCATTTGCCAAAGTCTAGTTCCTTCAAATTTTATTATATCCCACTAATGTCTTCCATTAAAACTTCAATATGTAATGACTCACAATGGACATCAATAATAGTCTAATAGATCTAGTGCTTAGTTGTATGGTAAATTGTTTCTCCTTTCATTATGTTTTTTGCATGATCAAATCAGTCTTTAAATAATTATTATTTATGACTTTCTTGTGCTAAGAATCAAGACTTACATTGCCATCTTCATTTTGGCTGATTCGGAATTTTCTGTCATGTGAGTGAAGGTCCATGGTTCTCTGCGAGTTATTGTCAAAATGTTACTTATGTGGAACTCTGAGATCCAAATTGATGGCGGCAAAGCTGTTGTCACAACCTCTGTCCTTGAAGTTAGAAATCTTGCTGTCTTAAGGGTATCAATCTTTCTATTTTCTTACCCTATGACTTTTGTTTTTCATCACTAGTCAGGCACTCAGGCTAATTACCCATTGTTCCATGCAGGAACATTCTGTTATAAGTTCAAACACAAATTTGGCACTATTTGGTCAAGGGTTGTTGAAGCTGACTGGTCATGGTGACTTAATCAAAAGTCAGCGGCTGTTTCTGTCACAGTTTTATAACATCACTGTAAGGAGTTATTTTTTCAGCATAGGTTCCCACAAGGTTTCTTTTGTGTTTCAGTGAGCAACTATTTTATTGTAGTATTTTGTGGTGCTTTCTCCTTAACTTACCTCACGCTGATGATTGATCTTATGTGGATATGTTAACATGTTTTTCATGGCTTGCTTAGTTTATTGTTTGTGGATGTCCTTAGCAAAAGCTTTGATTACGGAAATTTTAGGAACCTTCCTCTGTTACATTCATCTCCCACCTTTAATCATTCTGTTTTCCTCAACTCCACGTTTGTCTTCCTGATTTCAGTACACGTAGTCAAAGTTGGACTGTTGGACTAAAAGGATAATTGAGCCCTTCATCTCCAATTTCGTTTTTGCCCCCATCATTCTATTTATTCTTTCAGGTGCTTAATTAATTCTTTTACTCTGTTGCCTCAAGCTCTTCTAGTATTCTTATACGACACATGTGACGGCCTAATGGGATGCTTTTGGAACTGCCTTTTTTGCAAATAAGTTTAGGATTTCACTCTCTATTTTGTTAGCCGACCCCAAATCATTTTGAGACTAATTGTTGTTGTTGTTGTGGTAGAGGTAGCTTTTATCAAATGCTAATATTATAAGCTTTTGGAAATTAAAAGTAGTAGTTGATGATTTAATCTATACTTTAGGAAAAAAATAATATTAATGTCCTCTGGAATGTTCCTTGTATGCACAAGCTTGATTTGGCCTTGTTGAAGAAAACTTACATCCATATATATATGTATGCATATATATGCACATACATATATACATGGTATCAAGATGTCTGCAACCATGGATACTTCTGTTGTCATGATTTTTGTACATTTACTATATTAGCAGTGCGATAAGAATTACTCTGTTTTACAACGATTTCTGAAAATATCTTGAATTACTATGCACGGTTTTGGCAACAAAGTGAGGACTGAGGAGGAATTTTAAGTTGGATATTAACTTGAAATAACGCTTAGCTTTAATAGATATTTTTTTTTTGGCGGCTAATGAGGCCAGTGATTCTTCTATAAAGTTCAGCTTTGTAGCAGACATTGCAAAAACTTCTCACTTTCTATTAATTTTATATTTGTTGGAGTGTACCATGTCCTTTGTTTTATGTGCTCACTGTTGAATTTTAAAGGAACATATTGTTTAGTCTCCTTGTCTAATAGGACAAGGGTTTCTCTTTACTAATTAGAGTGTGTATGCCTCTCTGGCATTGTACCATTATTGCAATTTTTATGTATTTGGTCTGAGGAAGTGCCAGAATTTTAAAGCGAGCAGCCTCTGTTAACGTTATTTTAAGCATGAGCTATCTTCCTTCCAGCCTCGTCACATTCTGATGCTATTGTTTGTATATCATTTTGGTTTAGTGCAGTTCAAAAAGTGTCGATCTTATTCAATTGAAGAGAATTTGATGGGGATTGTTGCATGAACCAAGAATTTATCTTCGGTTGTCATGAACAAAACCCTCTCCTTCCATTTCCTTCTATCAAGTGCTATATGCTCTTTTGTAAACCCGATTTTCTCATATCAATTTTAGCTTCTTCCATCCAATTAGAGAATATGTTAGTACCTATTGTTAAAGTTTCCGTATTCTAATGCTGGTGAATGTTTATGCTGATTGCTACTGCTACTTGGAGATTTAACTATCATTACTGCATTTTCTAGTCTTTTGTCTTTGTGTGGCTGCATCGCTTCACCAACACCACCTTGTACTTGTTACTAGCTGTGGGATTTGTTTACTTGCATACTCACTGATTTCTTGTGGGCATTTGCAGCTTGGACGCGGTTCATTACTTCAGGCACCA